TCTGACTTTTTCACCTAAAAATAATATCTGGATATTATTTTTAGGAAGTATGCAAAGATCCTAAGTTAACATTTTATAAAAAATGTTTTGTCTGCATTAGAAAGGGAAAACAGTTTCTGAGTCTTTCATTCTGAAAGCAGCATTTAAATCTGACTAATGTTAACTTTGTTATATGTTGCTATATGTTCGGCTTCATTTTATTTTATTCACTCGATAATAAATGCAAATCGCTCATGTAACTGCAAACATAAATCATAAATGAATAGTTGCAGAAATATAAACTTATACCTGCCCCCTTTACATAAAAATAAAATTATTTCACTCAGACAACTATTATAAAAATATTCCAAATACACCAAAATACTCAACAGAACACCAGCTACTTCAACACAATATTGCTTCATCATTGCAAGTTTAAGTTTTTGAAATTCATAAGGAGATTTAGATTTTATCTCTCTGCCATTATTATTCCCTAAACTGACATCTTTAATTGACAATCATCTTTCCATTGTTGCCGTATTTCCTTTCTCTTTTCATAAATCTGTTTCGAATATTGTTTGTACATGAAATTCAAAATATTGTAGTTCATAGAAATCTGAGTCAGAATCAATATGAATTCAAACTTTTCCATTGACCCGTATCCAGTCAGAAAATCAGCCACTTCATTATCAGTCTCTGAGTTAGGCTAGAGTCTAATCAACACTGCGTTAGGTATTTTAACCCCACATTTCACCAAAACATCCATATTAGCAACAACTAGCAACTGCAACACTCCAGCTTCTGTACAACTGCTCCTGGCTAGCTCACCACTAATGTATGTAGCATATTTGAAAAGACAATCTAAATTGTTATTCAATATAAATGGCTTTTAACCAAGATAATAGGCCAGTTTCTTTTCAGAAGAATAGGTACGACTCAAGAAAGAGCAGTTAGGCTAGAGTTTTGCAGCTGCAAGTGTTTTGTATTTGCAATGTGAATATCATATTTACATATTTACAACCACAACATTATATGCAAATGGCCATCAAAAAAAACAATGAAATAAAAAAAAAAAGAGAGAAAACGAAACACAAAAAAAAAAAAAAACAAATTAATCAATCGTTCCTAAAGTTCATCTTACAACCCCTTAGTCCATCCACCCCGAATGGGGATTAATCAGGCTCGCAAACAAGGCGAGTATCCAGGGCGTGGTTCACGTCCTGGGTAATTGAAAGTCCAATCAAAGAAGGAACAGAGTTCTTTGTAGGATTCTCCTACCAGCTCGGTAGGAGAAGTAAGAAGTCTTCTGTCACCAACAGGTGAAATCTTTCTTTGGCTCTAGGCCTGGTCTCATAGCTCACCATCCACCTGGCCTGAATAACAAAACAGGACCACTTCCTCAATATATATTGATATGATCTAACATTTAGTGTATACACAATTCAATAAATAACATTTTATATTATAAATAATTCTATCATATTTGATCAATTGCAATTTCATTAAATCTAAAATTCAATATAAATTACATTCATGAAACATTCAATAAATATACACCATATTATCAATTAACATGAAATGTAAATACTAATATAAACCAGTGTTCAATAAATACTTCAATTACCCGTTTTGTTTATCAAAAGGAGTTTTACAATCAGTTTTTCTTTAGTGGCTACACAACAACAGTGATTATAAGCCAACGCTAAGTCATTCACAAAAACACTCACCAGTTCCGCAGTTTTGTGTCATACTACCGGATCTTTTTCATCTCTATTTCCGGCTCACAATAATGGGCTCCTATAGTTTCAGCACATTAAGTGAGCATCGTACACATTTACAAATGATACTACGCTTTAACTGACCTGCCAGCTCTGCTCCTTCCAACGCGTTCTACCCTTCACGCCCTTTCGCTTGAGCTAATATACCTAGCCGGTAAACTGGAAAGGTACATGTGACCCCAGTACTCAACCGCGATTGGCTAAATGATAATCTCGCGAGAATCACTAATACTATTAAAACATCGCGAGATTTGAGGCTAAAAGGCAAAAGAGTAGAAAATCAGAGGAAATGAAGGTTTAAAATTACACTCGGGTTACATCTATATTTATATATATGTAATTAGTTATTCCTTACCTTGGCATATTTAAATTAGATTTTCATGACAAATGTTCATCAATGAGAGCACACATAAACATAACTTCATTGTTTTTTGTATTTTGACTCTTTAAACATGTAACTGTGCATCAGCACTTTTCTTACTTACAGAAAGTTTCCAAATTTTGTTTTATCAATATTTAAGGATCATCTGTTGCTATTAAGCCATTATTAAATGTATAAATTTGTTTCAAAAATATCTTTTCCTGAATAAAATAAGGTTGTAATCAGCAAATAAAATCACCTTAGAAATTTAGAAACTATAGTAATATCATAAGAGAAACTATAGATACACGGACAGATCCTTGTGGTACTCCACAACTAACATGGTACAAAGCAGATTTTCTATTTTTACTTTGAACAAACTGTAGATAGAAGAGCTAGCAATTTACTTCTAATTATTCTATCAATAGTTGCCTGCTTTGTCTGCTGCTAGTCTTTCTATCTACTGCTAATGCTAACGGTTTAACTAGCTGCATCCTGAACAAATAAATGTATTTTTGCTCTAAGTTGAACTCTGAACTCGATTCAGAGTGGGGACATTTTTCGAGATGAACTTAAATGAGTGTTAAACAGAAGTGAAATCTGTGATGTTTATTTGCCTTCTGTTAGGTGTTTTTGTGTATATTTAAAACAATTTTTGGCTTTAGTGGCCTTTTATTTTATAGTGAATTGGCAGAAAATGGGTAATGAGAAAAGACATGTGGCAAAGGTCACCAGGCTGGGAATTGAACCTGCAATGGCTGTGTTGAGGACAAAGAACCACCCCGAGGGACACGGTCCAACGCCTTCTCCAAGTCCACAAAACACATGTAGACGGATTGGCTGAACTCCCACAACCCTCCAGGACGTTGCTGAGGGTGAAGAACTGGTCCGGTTTCCACGACCAGGACGAAAACCACACTGCTCTTCCTGAATCCGAGGTTCGACTAGCCGATGGAGCCTCCTCTTCAGGACCCCTGACTAGAGCTTGCCAGGGAGGCTTTAGAGTGAGACCGCTCTCTAATTGGAGCACAGCCTCCGGTCCCCCAGTCTGCCAATACGGGGGAACTGCCCCCGATGTCCATGCGATACTGCAGAGTCGCGTCAGCCAACACAACCCTACAACATCCAGAGCCTTGAGGAACTCCGGCCAGATGTCATCCACCCTGCGGCCCTTCCACCGAGGAGCTTTGTAACCACCTGGTCCCCAGAGCCTGGAGACCCGACCCAGAGTCCCCGGGCTCAGCTTCCTCAATGGAAGGCATGTTGGTGGGATTGAGGAGGTCTTTGAAGTATTCCGTCCACCGGGCCACAACGTCCCGAGTCGAGGTCAGCAGCCCACCATCCCCACTGTAAACAGTGTTGGTGCTGCGCTGTAAACAGTCTTGGTGCTGCGCTGTAAACAGTCTTGGTGCTGCGCTGTAAACAGTGTTGGTGCTGCGCTGTAAACAGTCTTGGTGCTGCGCTGTAAACAGTCTTGGTGCTGCGCTGTAAACAGTGTTGGTGCTGCACTGTAAACAGTGTTGCTGCTGCGCTGTAAACAGTGTTGGTGCTGCGCTGTAAACAGTGTTGGTGCTGCGCTGTAAACAGTGTTGGTGCTGTGCTGTAAACAGTGTTGGTGGTGCGCTGTAAACAATCTTGGTGCTGCGCTGTAAACAGTCTTGGTGCTGCGCTGTAAACAGTGTTGGTGCTGCGCTGTAAACAGTGTTGGTGCTGCGCTGTAAACAGTGTTGGTGCTGCGCTGTAAACAGTGTTGGTGCTGCCCTGTAAACAGTGTTGGTGCTGCGCTGTAAACAGTGTTGGTGCTGCGCTGTAAACAGTGTTGGTGCTGCCCTGTAAACAGTGTTGGTGCTGCCCTGTAAACAGTGTTGGTGCTGCGCTGTAAACAGTGTTGGTGCTGCCCTGTAAACAGTGTTGGTGCTGCGCTGTAAACAGTGTTGGTGCTGGACTGTAAACAGTGTTGGTGCTGCGCTGTAAACAGTGTTGGTGCTGCCCTGTAAACAGTGTTGGTGCTGCGTTGTAAACAGTGTTGGTGCTGCCCTGTAAACAGTGTTGGTGCTGCGCTGTAAACAGTGTTGGTGCTGCGCTGTAAACAGTGTTGGTGCTGCGCTGTAAACAGTGTTGGTGCTGCGCTGTAAACAGTGTTGGTGCTGCGCTGTAAACAGTCTTGGTGCTGCGCTGTAAACAGTGTTGGTGCTGCCCTGTAAACAGTGTTGGTGCTGCCCTGTAAACAGTGTTGGTGCTGCCCTGTAAACAGTCTTGGTGCTGCGCTGTAAACAGTGTTGGTGCTGCGCTGTAAACAGTGTTGGTGCTGCCCTGTAAACAGTCTTGGTGCTGCACCGCTTCCCCCTCCTGAGATGGTGGAGCAGAAGTCTTTCTCCTTGGCCTCTCCAAACTCCTCTCACGCCTGAGATTTTGCCTCAGCAGCCACCCGAGCCGCTTCACCCGCTGGCCTCCTGCTTATTGATAGAACATGTTAAATATTTGTCCACATTAAATAGATAAATAAAATCAGCATTATTGTCAACTCGATTATCTGCTGCTAATTAACAACCCACAGATATCAGTCACTTAAAATGACTGCAATAAACATTTGATCTGTGAGGAAAATGATTTGATCTGTTGCTGCTCATCTCTTGTGTTGCTGTGGTTTCAACAGAAAATGATTGGATGGAAACAGTGAGACACTGTAAACACAATGTTTTTGGCGCTCAAGTAAAACCTTCATTTAGAACCAGATCACATTTTCTCTCATTCTTTCAGACAGATTTTGTTTGTTTGTTTTTTGGGAGAAAACTGGATCATCCAGGGAAAACCCACTTCAGAAATATAAGTTTTCAATTTGAATTGATTTGTTGAATCAAATTTTGATTAGTTGAAAGAAGACCTGCATGGTGAAAAACACATTTTCTAAATGTGACATCACAAAAATGTAATTGCCGGTATTATTTTACCCCTGGACTACCAGCCTCCAAACTCCCAGTCAGTCATGAGGACGCCATCATGGCAGTTAAAGGGTTACTTCCCCAGAACCAGCCGCAAATCTAAATGTCATCTGTCAGATGGTTGATGAAGTCTGGGACCGGAGTCGGTGAAGAGGTTTCAGGCGTCGGCAGACAGCGGCTGTCGGAGACGGCTTTGTGTGAATCTTCTTCAGCCTTGGCTGGCTCTGCGGAAACCTTTTGGGGCGTCTCAAATGCAGGGGGCGCCCTGGCGGGGGGCAGCTCCTCTGTCTGGCTGCAGTCTGCTGCTGGGTGAACCTTGTTACTTCGTTTGACAAGCTTGTTGAGCCAGCAGTCGACTTTGGGCTTGGGAGAAAATTTTAGCGCGTGAAGCTCCTTCTCTGCGTTTCTCAGCTTCAGCTCCAGCTCGTGCTTTTCGTCCTCTAATTTGTTGTATTTTTCAGTAGCCAAGTTGGCTCTTGCCAATTCTACAGGGGCGCGTTCCAACTTATACAGCATCCTGGACAGATTGTCCCTGTCTCTCTTCTGACTGGCGATGGTTCCCTCAAATTTACGCGTGAGCTTCCTGATGTAGTGATGAAACTCGGTGAAGTGGCTGTCGGCCTCCATGACGGCGCTGTTGTCCAGATGTCTTTCCTTCAGCTGAATAAAGAAAGGCAAAAACTTTTTGGGGTAATGAAACACGTCGACACAGCTCTGGATGTCACACTGCATAGAGATGATCTTGTTCTCCAGTTGTTTGATGCGACGGTGGCATTTATTGACCTCCGGCTTGATGCCGCGGTGGCTGGCCTTCAGGGTGTTGTGCTTCTCACTGAGAAGTTGGAGCTCAAGGGTTTTTGATTGAACCGTCTTCTTGTGTTTGTCATGTTTTTCCTTTTCCTCCTCCAACTCGGCCTCCAACTTTCGATTCATTTCCTCTCTTTCGTTCAGACTGACTTTCAGCGTTCCACTTTTCGACTTTTCATTTTCAATCTCTTTGAAAAGTTTCTCTCTCTCTCGTTTCAGACCGGTGATTTCCTGTCCCAAACACGTTATGGTTCCCTGAAGCTCCTTGTTTTTCATCTGCAGTTTAGCTAAAACTTTGTCTCTGGCTTCAGCTTTGATACGGAGATCATCGATGCGACGGTTCCGATTTTCAACAATCTGGTATATTTCCTCAATGTTTCTTTTGTTTAATATTTTTGTGTCTTTCAGCTTCTTCTTTTCGTCTTGGACTTTGGACTCCAGCTCAGATATCTTTGTCTTGAAGTCTTTGTGTTTCTCTCTACTTTTAGAAACTTCTGTTTTGAGATTTTGGATATTTTCCTCCAGTTTCTCCTTGGCCAACCTCGCCTTCTTTGATGCTGATTTCTCTGCCTGTAATTTGATCTCATAAATTACAGACTGCTGTGTTATATCCTTTTTTATCTTCTTGACCTCTGCGTCTTTCAGAGCCAAAGATGCTTCCAACTTCTTGGTTTTCTCCAAAATGGTTTGCTTGTAGTTTTTGACTTCGTTTTGTAATTTGAAAACATGTTCGTCTTTGGTCACTACATTATTCCTGAAGGCTTCAAAGGTTTTGGTTTCAGTACTGTACAGTTTTAACAGCCTTTTATTTTCAGTCTCATGCTCCCTACAAAGTGCAGCAATCTCAGATTCTTTGGCTGCCAACTGCTCCTTAAACTGAACTTTTAATGCCTCATTTTTCTTAAGAGAGTCTTCGTATTTCATTTGAAGTGTTGAATTTTTGTTTTTAAGCTCATCAATTTTGATTTCCAGTGAAAATTCTCCTTTTTCCAGAACACCTCGTCTTCTTCATACTGCATTTGCCACTCACTCCTCCAGTACTGTTTGAATTTAAGCTTTCTGCCTTTTGCAAAGTCGTCCATATATTGCACCAGTTTATCCAGTTCCACCTGTTCTGGAGGTTTAACAGATTCAGCGTTTCTGCCATGATCCAGAAGGTAACGGTTTTCTGATATCTGTTGACAAATTTCTGACTGATGACAGGTCTCTGCAGTCTGCTGATCGTCTGCTGCAGTCTGTTGACCGTCTGCTGCAGTCTGCTGATCGTCTGCTGGAGTCTGTTGATCGTCTGCTGCGGTCTCTTGATCTTCTGCTGCAGTCTGTTGATCGTCTGCTGCAGTCTGCTGATCGTCTGCTGCAGTCTGCTGATCGTCTGCTGGAGTCTGTTGATCGTCTGCTGCAGTCTGCTGATCGTCTGCTGGAGTCTGTTGACTGTCTTCTGCGGTCTGTTGATCGTCTGCTGCAGTCTGTTGACTGTCTTCTGCGGTCTGTTGATCGTCTGCTGCAGTCTGTTGACCGTCTGCTGCAGTCTGTTGACCGTCTGCTGCGGTCTGTTGATCGTCTGCTGGAGTCTGTTGATCGTCTGCTGCGGTCTGCTGACCGTCTGCTGCGGTCTGTTGATCGTCTGCTGCGGTCTGTTGATCGTCTGCTGCGGTCTGTTGATCGTCTGCTGCAGTCTGCTGATCGTCTGCTGCGGTCTGTTGACCGTCTGCTGCGGTCTGCTGATCGTCTGCTGCGGTCTGTTGATCGTCTGCTGCGGTCTGTTGATCGTCTGCTGCGGTCTGTTGACCGTCTGCTGCGGTCTGTTGATCGTCTGCTGCGGTCTGTTGACCGTCTGCTGCGGTCTCTTGACCGTTTTCTGCCATTGTTAAGCTAGTTTGGTAAAAATCCACAGAAAAAAATCTGCTCTGCTTTCTGCTCAGGTTAACTGGACATACTGACTAGAAGCTGTTTGTCATTAAGATAAAGTCTCAGTGATGTCACAGTGACAACGTCGCAGATTCCATCCTTTGTATGATGTCACATGACCTGTTCTGCTCTCCATTTCTAAATTGAAATGTGAAAATAAACAATGTCAGGTGGTGGCGCCACAGAGGTTCTGGCTGACATAAAAGTTTCTGTGTAAATGTAACTTGAAGAAGGCAGAAAAATGAGCAGAACCACATTCAGAGCTGCAGTTATTAAATTCTTCGTTGACACTGCCAGGTTCGAAACAGAAGAAGACAGACCCCAAGAAACACAAGTAAAGATAACTTAATAAGTATCTATTGGCAGATAAATACACAAGTTCTGATTCTGGGTCATAAACAGAACCAGAACTTTCTCCAACCATGAAGCTAAAACTGGTGTTATTGAAGCACCTAATGCTTACAGCATAAAATCATCAACAAGACACAGCTGACATGTTTTATTATGTCCAGATGTTTCTGTTAGATATCAGGGTTTTTGTTTCCTTTCGTGGGTTTTTTTGTTCCTTCCTGTTCTTCTGTGGTTCCACCTTCATCCACCAGAGAGCGCCACAGGCTGCCTCTCTGGTTCAGTGCACCTGTGTGTCATCACCTGCACTTTTTCGCCCGAGTGTTTGCCAGTAATGGTACTCTGACCCAACCCTGAGTTAACTCTCTGTGTTCCCCAAGTATCTTCTCTTAGTAATCTCTTTGTTGCCTTCCTGGTGTCGCCGTGCGTTCTCCTAGTGAAGACCTCGTTCTGGCTTTCTGGACTTTTCCCTCTCGTGACGCCGTGGACAATAGCCACTGGTTGCCCGAGTCCCACCTTCATCTTCGCTGTTGGATCTCAAGCAGAACCTGGACCTGCCTTCAGCAGTCGGACCGCTCCTCTGTCTCCCTCCACGCCCGAACTTGTTCGCCCTCCACCCCATCCTCCTCGTTGCTACGCGGAACCACCTCAATCGAGCCGACCTCTGGAACCCGCATCACCACCCAAGTCCTGCAAATAAGGAAACGTAACCCTGAGCCCTTAGCTAACCCACTCACCAGCCATTATTCATCGTTACAAATAAGACTTTTCCTAAATACCATCATAGTTCACATTTCCGACAACCTTAAACTCACCATCTCCTCTGTCGTCCCTCATTGCGCCAGCAACACGGTGAATTACCCTCACCCATCATACTTTGCTTATAAAACTGACTCCTGTTCTTCTGTGGTGTTCGGCATGTGGGTTAAGAGAGTGGAACCAAACATGACAGTTTTATAGTATTCAATAATGAAAACTGACCTGTTGACCCAATGTGAGCCTCTTGCCGTGACACTGTCATAAAACTAGCTGCATGTCTTCTGATGGACGTCCAGTTCCGTTTAATGATCTTCATGTAACACATGAAGATCTGCAGATACTGGTTGGACTGGCGAAGCGGAACTGCAGATTGTGGCCTCTAGGTGGCGCCCTCTGCAGAGCTAGTGTGTGCTTCAGATTTCGCGGGTCTGCTATGCTTCAACATTACTGGTCTCTCCTCTGAAATGTTGCCAGCCGTACTGGTGGCATGTGGAGTTAACGGGACTGACAGATTATTAGCTTAATGACAATTCTCCATCAGCTGCACTTCATGTCAATCAGTGACACAATTAAAGCTCTTAATGAATAAATGAGCAGCCATGGCGGCGGCTGCAGGGAACATCTGGCCCAGGTAGGTTAATGGTGAGTCTGCATCAGGCGTCCATATGGAGGATGAGTGGAGAGGCTGTTTGATGCTCACCAAATGAAAAGTATCACTCTCAGTAATTTGGTTTGTTTGACAGTCAGAAAATCACTTAGAGAGACAGATTCTGGCCAATTACGAGCTCCACAGCTAATTAGTGTAGGCGGGGCCTCTCACAGCCAGACAGGAAATGCCTCCAGCTCCCCACAGCCACTTCCTCCCTGGGAATCTCATGCAAATGAACTCCATCACATCTGGCCCAAATTCCTCTGTTAAAAGCTGCAGCTCAAATATACATTTCACAATAAGACTGTAATTATGCAGCAGCAGCACAAAGCAGACATGAGCATCGTTTCTGAGGAGGAACATGAATATTCATGACAAGAGAAACCAAGATGGATGGATGGATGGCATATTGATAATTAAACAATTAATGCTTGTATTTAAAAATGAATATAATTATAGTATTATAACTCCAAGATTTATAATGGTAATTCTGATGGCCAACATTATTGTTGTCGGATGGAATTTTAAATTTTTTGTGAGACTATTTTATAATCATTGAACAAGAATGTATCTTTATATGTAGTGTTTCATTTATGAAATTTATAATTGCTTATTCCGTTTAAACGCCGAGTACTCAGGAGTTCAAAGTATTTATGATGTTGCATAATCTCTGCTTCATCCTCCGAGTCACAAGGGGGCGGTAAGCGCTCTAATGCGCTGCTCAAATAAAGCACATAGAAGAATAACAAGACGGGATTGATCCGTTTCTCGTTGCTGCAGTAAAGAAACATTTCCGCAGCTCATCGGTGTTTATTTAAAATAATGTCATCACTGAGCTTTTCCTGAAACATTTTGCTTCGGCATGCAGAGCTCAGAGCGCTGCGGTTCAATGACAGCGCTGTGGCATCTTTCATGCTTTTATTGTGAAGGGGAGAAGGTGAGGGGTTTTACTTTATTCTGTTTTTGGTTTTTATTGGAAGACATTGAGAAAAAAAAGTCTCAAATGATATTTTCGTCTTTCTCTGCTGTCTTCCACATTATGTTCGTTGAGCCGTTACACTTGTTACCTTCCGGTTCAATTAATCCAAACATATTTATCGATATATTGAGTAAATGTTTAAACACGTTATCAGGTCATTGAAAACTGCTGGTTTGGTGAAACAGACATGGCGGCTGAGCGTTTCTTGAATTCTTCCTGCTTCGTGTTTCTATGCAGTTTGTTTTGGCACAAAGACTTTCCAAGGTTTTTGCTTTTGTCTCTGTCTGTGAGACAAACAGGTTGATGCTGTTTTCTAAAGGTCCATTCAGACTCCCAGAGTCTGGTTCTGGTAGGAACCAGAACCAGAACTGGGCCAACTCTGCTGAATGTTTTGGTGTCATTCTAAACATTCACATTGAAAAGGTAAATTTCAAAATCTAAACTTTGCAGTTTGTCTTGTTACCTTAAATATGTAGATTTTATTTGTGATTGAACTTTGTTTAGATGACCTCCCTGTATTTCTGCTGGAGGAGGTTTCAGAACAGTTTCAATAATTAATATTATATCTGTGTATAATGTGAGCACTTCATCAGCAATTCCAACATGCTTATCTTTATTCAAACCTCTGGAATCGACCCAGCTGCTTTGTTTCCTCTCAGCTCACTGAAGAGTTTCGGTTTGGTTTTGCTGAATGTTTGTCTGATGAAACCTTCATTGGGAAAAGTGGCAAAACAAAAGATGATTAATTGGGATTTATGCTGGTTAAAATAACACAGAAGCTCTTTACTTTATTGTTGGAGAATCATTTAATCTCATTCAGATCAGTGATCAGTTGATCAGGTTCTGTTCAGAGGTTCTGGTCCAAAAGCAAACAAAATCTGCCTGGTCAGAATGTAAAGCAGAAAGTTTGGAGTCATCCAGGTTTTAATCTGGTGACAGATTGGATTAATCTGGATGAATCAGAAGATAATCAGCAGAGCAGCAGATATTAAACCCCCTTCATGATGCAGCAGAACTGTATCTGACTGGAACCAGAACCAACCAGCCCAGGTTCTGGAGGCTCCTCTTCATCGGCCCGTCGGACTGGGCCGGGCTGGACCGGACCGGATCGGACCGGATCCACACCGGCCCACTCAGACTCAACCACAAGCCAGAGCATTGTGTGGCGCTCCGGCCCGGCCCAGTCCGCTCCAGCGTGGGAGTCAGGAAAACATTCATCTTCAGATCCAAGAACTCCTCTGGGATCTGGACTTCCCAACAGGACGGGTCCAATCCAACTCGCTCAGCGGAACCAGCAGAACTCAGAGCCCTGCTCTCCATCAGCGCTGGGCTGCAGGCAGAGTCGCTCAGCTGGAGAGACCTGGACCGGTCTGACAGACAGAGCCAGCTTCGTGTTCTGTGGACTCAGCTGCAGCACAGAACCAGCAGAACCCTGAGGACCCCTCCGCCAGACGCTTTGCCTGGAGTGCGCCCTCTGGCGGTGGGGATGACCTGCAGCGATGCGGCTCGATCTGGAAACAGTTTAAAAACTGAAACCGAACTGGATCAGAATCAGTCTGGTAGCGGATCTGGAGCACGTCTTGCGTTCTGGTCGTCCAGCCAGAGACGAGCTGAAACTTCTCAGATACATTACTGATAAAATATATAAATCTATAAATGATGAGAAATCTGGTCCCTCCTGCAGGACAGACTCAGCATTTGCACCAGCAACCCCGCTGCCACTCATGTTGCCAGCTAGCTAACTGCTAGCTGGCTAACTCAACCAGGATAGTCCAGCCTGACCTCTGACCTCTGAGTCTGAATCGACCCGGACGGTCGATTCCTTCTGCTGCTGCACTTCATAAAATATTCACAATAGGATGAACTAATGTTGTAATCTATCGATTATTCTTAAGATTAATCAGATAAAACAAAGACAAAGCATTGGTAAATCTAACATCACGGCAGTTTTACTGTCCCATTTCAACATCAGTCCAATTTTTCACATTTGAGCTTCTGTCACAATAACTTTTCTGTAATCTAGAAAATTAACCTGAAACAAACGTTGCTCACTTTCTAAGTTAACCTGAAGAAAAGTTATACAAAAAGCAACATTCAGTGTAATAATAAATAGCCGGCCTATTTGTCAGAAAGCTATTCTAAAAAAATTCTTTACTCCAGCTTTTGGTTTCTGTTTTTCTGCTCAGTCAGTTTAATAGCTGAACTCTCACCCAGACGTTTATAGCTTTGTTAGCGACGGGATTTAACACCTTCGTTCGTCACACACAGAAACATCTGCCAGGTGTGTAACGTCACCCATTAGTGGCTACCGGGATGATAGGAAATGTATTTTACTGTATTTTGATGAAAGCTACGCGTCTAAAGCTTCGCCGCCCACCGTGTTCATCTGTGCTGTTCGCTCTGAACCAGCAGCTCCGGAGAGAAAAGCTGCTGTACTGCAGGCGTGGCCCCAACATTCTAAGGATTTTTATTGGTCCCCCAAAAACGACAAAAACCCGGACATAATCATGAATCAATAAAATCCTCCTGAACTTGAAAATTGGACATTATGCTGCTAACACTTAGCTTTTGTCAACAGCTGAGAGCGCAAATAAAGACCTGAGTGAATTTGGCCCCCACCTTCTTCAAATCAGACAAAATTGGTGTGAAACGTTTGTGCTACATTTGTGCAGCTGAAATGTTCATTTGTGCTGTTATTGTTGTAAAGATACTAAGAAAAATGTTTCTAGATGTTTCATCAAAGGGTTAAACAGTTTTAAACAAACTGTTTATAAACATTTTGGTCACTAATTTGAAGTTGTGAAAATAAGTGTTGATGATGACAGTTGATCATGAAATTGAGATTAGATAGCTTGTTTTGCTCTAGTCCTACTTTTCGTATTTCAACAGTACAGTTTGTCTAATAGCGCCCTCTGGTGATCACAAACTGAAATACATGAGTGTTGTGGGAGGTTCTGTATTAGTTCATTCTAAGACTTGGATCCAAGTGAATTTCATCAATGTTACAATTAAATTATTCATGTTTAAATGACCAGTTTGGTCAGCACCAAACAATTAGAAATGAAACTCGCAGATCCAGAATGAACTGATGTTCATTGACCTTTGATGACCTCTAGAAACATTTTTAGAAACATC